CTGTTTTTCGGCCGTCCTCCGGACGTACCTGATGACTGAGGAGTACGTGCAAGGCCTCCAGGCCCAGTTGGAAATGGTACACAGGTTTGTCCGGGAGCAGATCAACATCTCGATGAACAGGATGAAGAAGATATACAACGCAAGAGCCACCGATCATCAGTTCCAGGAAAATGACAAGGTGTGGATGTGGAATCCACACCTTGTTGTCATAAGGCTATTTCTTCCCAACTGCAGTCACATTGGAAGGGTCCCTGTACACTTCTCAACAGACTAAATGATGTTGTGGTATGGATCTGTTAAGTCACCCAGTTCCAAACTTGAAGCTGTTCATTATGACAAATTAGCCCCATACTTTGGCCAATGTACACTGCTCAAAAAAAAAAAAAAAAAAAGGACAGTTCTATACCTCCCGTTCTACTGGGCCGATTGACAAAATTCAAATTGCGTTCTTCATGTCTCGAAAGCGCGACTTAGGATATATGTTAGATTTATATATAGCACTATTCTAACATAGGTATTTTGACACAAAATCGGACTTTTTCTGAAATAACATACTAATTTTTTTACATATTTCGATTCTACAACTCAAATTACGCCTAAATATGAAATTTTGTAAAATTTGGAGCGAAATTTACGGAGAAATTCACAAATTTATGTTGGCACTTTTTTGTCAGTTTGCGCCAAGAATAGTTCACTTGGCGAACTTCTTAATATATGGCAACCTAGTTTCCTTTCCCATGAGAGGGAAAAAAGTCACCATCGTTCCTTTTTTCCAAATAATATTGTTGCGTGCGTACGGGTTCGTTACGAAATGAATGCACAAGTCCGATGAAAAATGAACAAAAATTTATTATTATCACAACAAAAATGCTTAAATTTTCTCAAATTATCATGCAGTATTACAATATCTCACAGTAGTTATCTTTTAATTACTCAAATGTCCAATAGAACGTAATTCAAAACAGCTAAAGAACGCTAATCCGCAAATTCGCTACAATCAACAACAGTAGTTTTCTAAACAACAACAAACTAAGCAACTACTACAAACTGAGATGTTTTCCTCCTTTTATAAGATTTTAAAATCACGCGCTAGAATTTTCCAGCACTTTCTCGAAATCAAAAAGAGATATTTATTTATTTAACGCACGCGCTCTTGTATTTTTAATTTTTCCGGCTTAGCTTTCTTTTAATATTCGTCACGTGCTGCACTGCGCGAGAAATAAAACCATTTAATTTATAGTTGAACTAACATTAGCTTTTTAAATACCAAATTCGTAACAATATTCTTTATATTATATTTTTAATTATAACTTATTTATTTTAAGTAATTGTTTCTTTTTCGAATTTAATTTTAATTGTTTAAGTTGCTTTTTTTTTTTTTTTTTTTTTTTGAATAATTGTTTTTAAAAATTTCTGTTTGCCTATTCGAACTGCGTAATAAAAATGCAATCGTTTATTTTTTATCAAATAGTTTTCTTTATATATATTTTTTGTCATAGTTATTATTTTAGGTAATTTTTTAAATTTTTAATTTTTATACTTTTATTTTAATTGTTTGTGTTGCATTTTCTCTTCAAATAATTGTTTTAAAATTTTCTATTTATTCCTTCGAACTGAGCATTTTAAATATATTTATTAATATAAATTTTTCAGAATTTGATTTTATTTATTTGAATTGCGTTTCTTTCGGAAGAATACTTTGTAACCCAGACTACGATGCGTTTTGAAAACTGCATATATTAAAATGAGAAATACAATAAAGCACAGTTTTTACACGCCTTTTTAATGTTCCGTTCAGAAAAGGAATATATAAATAAGAGAGATGTATAACCGACATTTTAACTTAGGATGACTTGCATACACAGCTTTAAACAGTTTTTTTACCATTGTGCCCATTGCTTTACACAATTTTATCCTACATTTGGTTTTCTTAAAAGTTATTCATATTTTTTAGTCAAATATTTATTTTTGAAATAGCAAAAATCAAATATCATAAGATTAAAATGTTTTAAATCTTTAAAAAAATACTAATACTAAATTTTGCGCAAAAATTTATTTTTTCTTCTCTTTTTCTTCAAGCATTCTACTTTATTCTTGGCCTTTTTCTTTAGGCATTCTGCAAGTATATCAAAAAGCATCCAACTTTTCGAAATATCTTGATATTTCTGACAATCATTTTGAATAAAGTTATCGCCTTCCATTTCATAAAGGCCCACCGGCGGCCGAGCGGTAAAGACGCTGAACACTGGTAGTTCGGTCCGATGTTCGAATCCCGCAAATGGGCTGGCCGCATCGGCGTTTTCGTGGTTTTTCCCATGTGTAACGTGTATACGAGCCAGTTTACCTTAGAAATTCCTCCACGAAGGCATCCCTCCCTTTAGGCAGATAGCCCTCGTGTGCTTTGCCATAATTAAATAATCCAATCCAATCCAATCCCATCCTTAATTAAATATAATTGATTTGTAACTTCTACTAGAACTGACGGTAAGAATTGAAGTGCAAATAAATAATATAGTGTACAATCTTGATTAATATAAAATTAAAAATATTTGCATAGAAAAATATTTGCATTTAGACAGAAAGTTCTTTGAAATATTTGCAATTACTGTATAAGAAGAATTTATTAATAACCGTAATATTTACTTATTATATTACTGATGATTAGGATTCAGTTCTTGACAATTACATTCTAAATTAGAATTTTAAGGATATAATGAAAATACGCTACGCACAAAAATACATTTTAGGATAAAAATGAGTTGATTTTTTATGTTTTAAAACTTCTTAAATTCATTTAATAAACATCGTATCCTCGTTGTTAATTGAATCCAGAATGTTGGGTGTCGTTTATATAATTATTCTTACTTGTCCACAGAACCTGCTGACTTATCCAGCCATTAAGTAGCTGCAGATCATTTCTACATAACCATTGAACTTCCATTAATTCAGTCTCTAGAGGGTTGTATGTTTATATCATAATTTGACTTTTAAAAAATTATTATTCTAAATCTTATGTTTCTATAAAAAATAACTGTGCTTTAAAAATGTGGATGGTAGTATCAGCCGCTCTTTCAGCCACTTCAAAAGCAACAGTTTGTTTAGAAATAAATTATGCAGTTAATGTCATAAAATTCAAATAAATATCAAACGAAAATTCTCAGTTTTAGACAATTCGATTTAAACGAAGTAAAGTAGCAGACGATAAAACGCCGAAGGTAAAAATTTACTCTTATTTTTTCTTAAAAAGGAAGATAGAGAGAAAATTTAAAAAAATAGTTAAAAATTTGAATAATGTCATCTATAATTTAAAAAAATAGCTTTTCATATAGTATTAATAAATATTTATTACGCATCATTGAGGGAATAAATGTCAAATAATTAATTCTCCGTAAAATTTTACTTGAAATTTAAGGTTAAAAATAGCTGTGGCAATTCACTGTAACAAAAATCCATAGACCACATTTGGCGTTATTATCGCTCAAAAAAAAGATGCCAAATTTCAAAACTCGAAAATATGTAAATTCGTGTATATCTTCGAAAATTTTGAATAAAAAAGTCTAATTTTTTGCAGATATGCTTAGAAATATACCTACTTTAAGATGATGGTAAAAATTTTATAGGTTATAATTCAAATTTTTTTTCGAAAAATTTATAAATATTATTTAAAAATAGAAATTTAAAAAATAAAACAAAAAATGGGTAAATTTTATTTGGAATGAACCTAAATTTCGAAATGTGAAAGGAACAATCATAAAAGTTTAATAAAAAAAGAGATATTAATAAATATTTGCCAAATTCAATTAACATTGAGGAGCTAAAATTTTGAGAGCTAATATTTAAAAAACTACTCATACGATGTTTACAAAACTTGGTATTTTGGCATAATTTGAGACGTAGAATCGAAATATGGAAAAAAAAAAATTGGTATGTTACTTCAGAAAAAGTCCGATTTTGTGTCAAAATACCTATGTTAGAATAGTGCTATATATAAATCTAATATATATCCTAAGTCGCGCTTTCGAGACATGAAAAACGCAGTTTGAATTTTGTCAATCGGCCCAGTAGAACGGGAGATATAGCACTGTCCCCCCTTTTTTTTTTTTTTTTTTTTTTTTTTTTTTTTTTTTGACCAGTGTACCTAGTGCTTCTCATTCTTATGTGCCTCCATAATTCTTATAGATTAATTTTCCTATGTATTTTCTGTGCATAACTTGTACATAGTTACTTGTAAGTAGTGTAAATATTTGTTTCTTTTATTTTTTTCGTTTCTTTATTTTTTGTTACCTTTGAATTTGGCTTCTGACCAAGGATTGTACTGCCTGGGATGTGCAGTCCTTGGGAGAGGAGGCAGTGTTGTGAAATACCCAGCTGGCAGTAAGATAGCTTTGTGCAAAGTGGGGTTAGGGTTTCCAGATTTGGCACGAAGTCGCCCATTTGGAAACAAAATTTGTGACATGCCAAAGACGGAGCAAGGACATTCTAGAATGCATTCCTGGTGGTTTTCTCAAGAATTTTCTTAAAGGTAGATTAAAAACTACATATGCTCTGCCTGTATGCAGAGTAGTAGTAGTATCTTGTGTTTAGTACTGTGTCTTTGAGTTCAGAGATTTAACTTGAGATCAGCCAAGTTGGGAGCTGTACTTTAGTGCTTTGCCATGAAGCTGTCTTCACCATTATAGCGTGAAGGCTGTGTTGCTGATTGTTTCAGTATGTTTATCATAGTTTTCTGATGACTGTAAACATGTCTTTGTAACTAACTTTCCTGTATAATACTGCCGAATAAATTATGTTTTGATTCTTCAGAAAGTGTTATCATCAGTTACTCAAAATCTTCGAACCCATAGAATGCAACATTATATTATTTTAGATTAAAGAAAAATTGATAAATTTTTTATTTTGCATTTTCTTGAATTTTAGTTATTTTCTTATTATAGTATTATTTATTTACTTTTGATGTTATAATGTTTATTAATTTCTCTCTTTTTCTTTTTTATTTTAAGGTAATTATAAAAGGAATCTGACTCAGGAATCTGCTTCAACCACTGTTAAAAATAACTCATTTAAGAATAACGATGATGTTAGAGAAGGTGATAGAGGTACTGAAATTTCTCCATGTGATGAAAAAAGTAAAAATCTCATGATAGTGAATTCCTTTACTAGTAAAAATACTGATACAGTGTTAGAAGTTAACAATGTGCTGAAAAGTATTTTACCAAAGAATGATTCTTTCAGTAATCACGACATACCAATCCATAATTCTGAAGCTCTAAATGATAATAAAAATATCAATGATCTTTCTCAAAATTTAGCCAACTCTTTTGTGAATTCTGTGGATAATAGTGATGACGAAGATTCTGTTATTGAACTTCCCATTACTTCAATACAAAAACAAGAGATTTCTAAGCATATAAATGTTTCTGCTGAAGTTTCTTCTGCACCTTGCATATTGACTGATAAGCTAAATGCACAAACTATAGATTCAAAGAATCTATCAGTTGATATTCAGGATTCTTGCAATGACATGCTTATTGAACATAAACCAAAATCTGCTGATCTTCAGTCTCATTCTGGAGAATTAGTTACAAATATTGGTACTGCTAATGCTGTTTGTAATGAATCATTGCAAGTTTTAGAAAACTGCCATTCACAGCAGTTAGAAAAAAATACCAAAGAAAATAATACATCATTTCAAATGTGTCTCACTTCTAATGAACATAATATTAATACTGAAGAGATACCTCAAACTACTGTGTCAAGTGATGTTAATGATGTTCAGAGAAATTGGATAGGTGACAGTAAATTTCCAGCTGATGATACATCTGATAAAATGGATACTAATAATCTCTTTTCTAAGAGTGAGGCACCCATTCTGACTGAAAATATTGTTCCTAGTCAAGTTAATATATGTGATAAATTAATACACAATAATTTTACTAGTGCAGAAAATCAACCTAATACCTTTGTAGATATTAGACCTCTAGTACCTTCTGTGCAAACTCTTAATGTTGGTACTTCTGTGCAAACTGTAAACAATCTTTTACCCACATCTACTATTTTACAATGGCCGTATTCTGCTGTACCTACAATTTTAACTCCAGGTATTGGATCAAATACTTTCCAAAATGGCTATCAGTATAACTTACTTCTGAATGCAGGCTTGGATTTGAATTCTAACAGTACAGGTAAAATCATATTTGTTAATAAGATCGCTCCAGAGGATGCAAGTCTATCCATGGCTGCAAAAAGCTGTACAAATGAGAGTGGAAATGGAATCATAAACTATCTAAATTCCAGATCACCATGTATGTATTTTCTTTAATTATAATTTATATGCTTATTAACATCAAAATTATTTGGAAAACTAATATTTGTCTGAAAAGTAGGAACAGTTAGTACTTGTATATTTTTCCATTGACCATGAAAGTTGGTGGAGATACTGCCAGATTAGCAACAATTATTTTGGTAGAAGTCTTAAAAAAATCGCTCTTTATTTAGTTAGATAATCATAGATTCTCTCTTTATTTAATCAGACAATTAACAGATACAAGTTAAAGATATAGAATAAAAAAAATCTTAAATAAATATGCACTCAAACTTTGAGATTATCTGTCATATAACCTCATTAAAACTTATGACATTCATTTTGGTGGTCAAAAATCTCTAATGAAGTATAAAATAGAATATATATATATAGAGAGAGTTTCACAAGAATAAAGTTAAATTAAATTTAAATAATTTTCTTGTGCCATTGCTGCAAGGAAGGAAATTTGAATTTAGCAAATGTTCTCTATTCATATAAAGCTAATTTAAAATTTAATTAAGAAATTTTAATTGACAAAATAAAAATAAAATTAATTATTGCTGCAAACTAATTTACAAGAGCATATGTAAATTAAGTGCACATATCTAAAACCATGAAAAAATATATAATAGTCCAAAAATTAATCTCAAAATTTTTAAGGAATTTCTAAGACGAAATTAAATTGCATAAGTGAATAATTGTTGAGCAGGCAGGAGACAGACTTATCAAGGGAAAGTTGCCTCCAAACCTAACTCTTCAATTACTCAATTTGTGTTTCGTCATCCATATAGGCAAGGGTAAAACTAAAATTCAAAACCAAAAGTTGTGAATTACAAAAAGGAAATTTAAACCAATAGGAATTCTGAGAAATTTAGCAAGTAAAATATTAATTAAATGTCAAGAGTAGAAAACCAAATATTTTTTAGAAAACTAAAGTAATTTAGAAACTTTTAGCCTATTGAAAACTTTCCCTACATGAATTATGCATATAAACCTAAAATAAACTACATACAATCATCAACATATAATAATAAAGCTAGTAAATAGCAAGTTTTAATTTAATTTAACTTAACTATAACTACATATTTGAATTCCTGAGTGTGGACAAGTATTTGCTAAACTAAGTAGAGTAGTTTGTTACTGCTAACTGTAAAAATAGAGGCACTAATACAATGTAAAGTTGAGTGTTAAGCTGCTACCTGTGAGAGCTATATTGTAAAAACCTGTGCTGTAAACTTTAATGTAAAATGCTTGCTTTATGTGCAAAAATGTTGCTAACTTTGAGGCATTGTTAAAATGTGTAAAAAAATAAAAATTGTGAACTGCTACTGTTGTGAAAATAGATGTTGCAAACTACTGAAGATGTAAAAATTTGAAAAAATGTTTTTGAAAAAAATTTTTTAGTAAAATTAATTTAGATATGTGCACTTAATTTACACATGCTCTTAGAATTTAAATGATATTGTAAATTAGTTTGCAGCAATAAGTAATTTTATTTTTCCATTAAAATTTCTTAATTAAATTTTTAATTTATACAAATAGAGAATATTTGTTAAATTCAAATTATATATATATTCACCTTTTGTGAATTCTGCACCTCATGAATTAACTTAAATATGAACCTGAGGTGTATTGCATGGTTATGCAGCATACTTACTTGATTGCATCATTTTGCTGAACCCTAGAGTCTTTCAGTGTTATTATTGCACCAGTGTAACCACTTTGTGTAACTTTGAAAATACTACACTTCTTACTATTCTGTAGACGTTAAGTTCCAATATTTAGTATTTTTTTTCAAAATGGGAAAGAAAAAGCAGAAATAGTGGGTAACTTATAGCTTTCTTTACAAAAACTAAAATAGTTTTATTGAATGCAAAATTGCATAGAACCACAGGAAAGAAATTATATGTGTGTTGAGATATGAAAGCTCTATTTTATTGGTGCTGAATTGCATTATTTGGTAAAAAAATTTTTTTGTTTGTTTATTAGTTAAATTTGTTTGCTGGGAAAATATGTAAGTATAAAGGTATTTGTTACTTAAAAAGGAAAAATTTGGAGAACATACTGAAAACTTTGATTTTTTTATGTAAAGCACATAATTGATTATATCAAATTGAAAGAGAAATATGCAAATGTAAAACTCAAAATTTGGCAAAACAAATTTGCTGTTTTGCCTAATTTTGAACTGATTATATGTTTAAAGCAAAATATTTAGAAATGGCTCATATGGATGGGTCAAAGATCCAAGCCATGGGTACAGACAGTCTTATCGTGAATAAACAAAACTAAAAATGGATTTGAATATACTCTGTAGTGGCTGAGTAGGTAAAACTGATAATTTGGCTCAAGATTTCAAATTCCAGTGAAATGAGTGGCTGTATAAGCATTTTTGTTTTCTCCTATGTGTAATACAAGTAATAACCATTTTCGCTTAGAATAGGGGTCTTGAATTTTTCACGCCTGAGGGCCACATCAATAAATTCACAAAGATCTGTGGGCCACATGTCTGTCAAAAAAATAGTGTAGTCAGAAAATTTATATAAAAAGGTAGGTTTGTTTTGCAAGACTACAATTGATTCTAAACGAAGAGATAGTGTTACAGATTTGTATTTATATATACATTGGTTCCAAAAAGTCAAATGGAAATTGAATTAAAATGTTTTGCAACTTTTTTTAACTATGAAGAAAAATTATAAAAATGGTTGTACAGAACGATATAACAAAAGCCATTTACAATGAAAAAAAAGAAGAAAAAAAAAAAAAAAATTACATTTCTATGTGGTTATGAGGAAGATGGTGTTTACTTTAGTTTTAATGTAAAATTTCACATTGTTTTTGCTTGATTAAAGCTTCAGTATCCGGTTTAATATATGTTGTTACAATTCCTATTCCACCAAATGTCTGTCTGTCAGCCATGTTCTTATTTTTGATTTTAGGATTTTCATTTTACTAAAAGGCTGTTCATATATGTATGTACTGCCAAAGATATAAGACATGAAGAGTGCATGGTAATACATTGTCATATTCAGCTTCCAAATCACTCAGAAACTGTTGAAATTTCCTGTGATTAAGTCCTTTAGACAGAATGAAATTAACCACTTTAACAACAACATTCATTACATGTTCAAAGTTTGAGAAGAACTTTTTGCACAAATATTCTTCGTGGAAGATACATTGGAAAGTCATTACAGTATTATTTCCACTTGCCTTCACGTTAGATTTGAGTAATGTTATTACTCCTATTTTCCAGTCATAGAGTTAGGACCATCCGTGGTTATAGCAGATATATTACACTGAAGTCTAACTCACATTTATCCAAAGTTTGTGTCACACCCGAATACAAATCTGTCCTTGTGTTGTACTTTTAAGTGCAACGATACTGACTAATTCCTTTGTGAAGTTTTTATCAACGCCACGAATAGTAATAGATATTTGTGCAGTATCCGTTGCATCTATTGAATTATCCATCTCTACAGAATAAAAATCAAATGTTTTGCATTTGGATTTTTATTTACTGAATATATCTGTTGCGACATCCTCTGTGCGTCTCGCTACTGTCACAGCAGACAAGCTAATATTCAATATGACTTGAGCCTGTGATGGACAAAGCACATCAACTGCACACTGAAGACATTCTTTTACAAATTCTCCATCAGCAAAGGCTTTTCCTTTCTTACCAATTTTTCTGCTTTCATGTAACTAACACAAACACTGTTTTCAGATTCTGTATTCACTGTAGTAATGAAAGACTGCTGAAAATTTAGATTTGATTTTAATTCACTCACTTTGTCAGTTCGAAAATGACCTTCCAATGCAGAATATTTCTCGCTGTGCTTAGTATCATAATGTCTCTTAATGTTGTATTCCTTCGTCACAGCTACATTGCCATTACAAATAAGGCAAACTGCATTACCCTTATGTGCAACAAAAAAATAAAGATCTGACCACTTTTCTTGAAAAAAAATCGCACTTTTCCTTCAACCTCTCTCTCTCTCTTTTTTTTTTTTTTTTGTTATCAGGAATTGCCATTGCATGCTCATTCAAGGACCATAAGTGCTTCTAAATTTTAAAATGTGGAATGAGAGGGAGTAACCTACCTTAAAATCAACTGTAGAAAATCTGCTGATCACTAAATCAAACAGGATGTTTATGATCACTGTTCCCTTTGGCAACTAATTGCAACATTAGAAGAAATAGAATTCTTTTAATTTATTCCCCCTCTCCTCTATAGTATTGGCACACTCAAGCTCACCTTTGGCGAAGTATTGTCGAAAGTTTGACATCTGTTGCAAATCTGTTAAAGATAAGAATTTAACCTTTTTATGGAATTGAGATTTTATGGGTAATCAAATTTTTAATTTTTAAAATTACATATAATAAAGTGAAATTTTTGAAAAGTTTGTCATTTTCAGAAACTTTTATCTCAAATAATACTAGGCATGTCAATAAAATGTTTTAAATTTCAAGAATAAGAGAAAAAAACAATTCCCGACAAAAAGCCATCAAGGCAATTTTTCTTGAAATCAAAATTTCTTAAAATTCTCCAAATTCAAAATGTGAAGCCACTAAAATGTCTTCAGCGGGCCATGGGTTGAAGACCCCTAACTTAGAAGATCTTCAATAAAGATATTCATCCCCACAGGCAGATAGCCCCCTTTATGTGCTTTGCAGTAATCAAATAAACGAGCAATTAAATAATTGATTCAATTATATGAGTGTAAGCAGATTGTTGAAAGTTGCAGAAGAGAAATAGACCCTTGAACTGTTTTTCTTTCACCCAGCCTAATTTAGTTTCAAACTTATTCTTCAACAGTTTTTCTTCTGTCTGCGCTAAATTTTTCTAGAATTTCCTTTTCTATTTTGGATTTTCTTTCCTGAACTAGCTTTCAATGCACATACATAGCCCATTCAAATTATTCTCTGCCATTTTTGAGTCCAAATAATTTTTCATTTTGCTCTGGGTTTTCTTGTTTCTTTAACTCAGTCTTTCATTGCTTACTC